TTTTTGTTAAGCTGATCGTAAATCTCATTGCTTGACATTTGTCTGCCGCCCTTTGGCGGCAATAGCTTCGATTGACGAGGTGGGAAGGGCAATAATTGGGCGATCGGAGTAAATTTGGGTTCAGCGGATATGAGCGGATCCTCTATACATTGATTATTTATCATGTTAGTACGCGGCATTGGCGTGACGAGTTGTAGGGCACAGTCCTCGGTCTGATCCTCTGGCTTAGCAGAGCGTACTTCAATTTCGGCCTCCTCAACATCTTGATTTGGCTTGGCGAGCTGTAGGACACAGTCCTCGGCTTGATCATCTGACTTAGCAGAGTGTACTTCTATTTCGGCTTCTTCAATATTATGATTTGGCTTGGTGAGTTGTAGAGCACACTCTTCGGTCTGATCGTCTGGCTTAGCATGGGCAGAGCGTACGTCCAGTTGGCCCACCGTAATATCATGATTCGGAGTATCGAGCTGTAGGGCACAGTCTTCGGTCTGATCCTCTGGCACAGCAGGAACCGAGCGTTCGCCCAGTTCAGTCACCACAATGCCATGATTTGGCGTATTGTGCTGCAGGGCAGAGTTCTCGGGCTGATCATTGAAGTCAATGTCATGATTTGACATGACGGTCTGTTTGGTCTGATCCTCTTGCTTAGCATGAACAGAACGTACGTCCAGTTTGTGCACCTCAATGTTTGACGTGATGATTTGTAGGGCATAGTCCTCGGTCTGATCTCCTGGCTTAGCATTGCCAGAGCGTACGTCCAGTTCGCCCACCTCAATGCCATCGAGGTTTGTGTGAATTCCATTGTAATTATTTGTTGCTTTCTTTATGTCCTCATTCTTGGAAATTCCAATGGCTCGATTTAAATCGATATGTAAATTCAATTTGATAATATGTTCATTGACTGCGTTCACGCTGCTTAAAAGGCCGTCGTGGACGGCAATAATGCGACCATCGGCGCGACCAACGTGCGACCAGCTATCTTCAAGTGTTCGTCGCACAGCATTGACTTCCATTTGATAAGCAGTGAGATTTGTTTGTAATTTAATTAAATTGCGCTCGAATAGCGACAAAATCGAAAAAAGACCGTCCATATCCATAATTAAATGTGTTCTCAAAATCACACAATTTAAAGAACTTTACGAGATAGCGGCAAAGCATCAACTGTAACATTTTGGTTCTGTTGACTCTTCAACGTCGTTACTGAGCACTAAAAGAGTATTTAAACTAAGCTGCAGCTGAAATTAGCTTTAATCACTTACTATACAACATATGGTTAGCACTAATGCAACTTATGTAAATCTAAAATAAATTTCWTCTTCTAWGTTATATACATACATAACACAAATTAAATACTTTTTTCCATATCATCCTAACTGACAATGCATTTACMACATCMTATTTATAACAAAYAAAATCCGTTACGAAATTTCACAGCATACTAGCCTTCAAGATAATCGATAAGTATCTAAAGCTTCTCAGCACTGCATTACACGCTAGGCCCTACCAACACTGGCTCATGTGCCGCATATAAAATCGCGCTCGTTTGCTTGTTTTCTTAAAATTTTAATATTAATTGTTTACAATGACTGAGGATACCGTACCGCATTTCGTAAGACGTTTTCAAATATATGACCGTATTCCAATTCATGATTCTCTTCTCCAGGAAATTGGCGACACACTTGCCATGCGCTGCGGCAATACGCTAACCGCAAGTTTTGTGCCAGGCGGCTCCAAATTAGCGCTGAGTGCCTATCGGCCAGTCAAATGGAGCACACCCGACGCGCCGAGTGAATCGGCTGGCGAGGAACCGGTGCTGATTTATATGGCACAAGAAACGACGCTTTATACTGAGCCTCTGCTTCGCAGTCTACTTGCTGAAACGAATGCCACATTTGCGACTCTACAAGTGTTAGGCCAGGGGTCGAAGGGAGACGCAAAAAAAACCGTAGAGTACATAAAAATTTCCAGAACCTATCGCAGTATAATCCGTTGCTGTCTTGAGAAGCTGGAACACGCTAAGCAATCGCCAGAGGTACAAGAGAATGAGGCCATCAAACAGCGCCACGCGGACGCAATATTGACTTTCTATGCAATCGAGTGTTTGTGGCATCTGTTTGAAATCCTCTACATGCAGCAGCAGCACAATCAGCTGATTGTGACCCAACTGTTGGAGTGGACGCGCTTTCATTATCCCAACACGGAAGAYGCGGCTACTGATCTGTTGCTCATGGCCGAAGAGGCCAGCGAATGCGAGAGCTATTGGGACACATTAAAAACGCTCATAATGCTCGGACAGCTGGACGTGACACGRGCCATTCTCTCGCAGCATCGCAAATTCAATCAGACTGCGTTTCAAACAGCCGATCAGGTACTCAAGTCAATGCCCGTTTATCAGGATGGCTATGCAATGCAAAAGTTTTGCTCCCA